CCAGCTTTCGCTACAGTTGTTAAAATATAACGTTGCCATTTCATATTTCGTTTCAGTAAATAATTAAAAAGATGCTTCGCTTTGATTAAAAGCAATACCTTATCGTTACACAAATTTGTGTTTGTGGCTAATTTTACATTCAAAGTTTGTTGAAAGCAACTAAAATTTCAGAAGACGATAAAAATCTAAATTACGTTTTTTGCTTGTATATTTCATGTACGAGAAATAGAAGAGAATAGATGAATAATAAATTTTGCTTATTCTGTCATTTGCCTTCAATTGAACAATTCTCCACATTTTGCTTATACATTTTTTTATTCATTGAATATTATATTTAATAAAAATAGATCTTTTTAAAACTATTACTAAAGTTATTTTATCATTTATTAGTTACATGTATTTAAATTCCCATTATCGTATGCCAGCTAAGTTACGTGACTACCGACCGACCTCATACTCCAAAAAAAGTATATTTTACGCAAAAAAAAAAAAAAAAAAAATACTACCCAAATATTAGATATCTTCTCTCAGAAAACCACAATTCAGTTATTTCAATTGAATAAAATTTACCTTATTGTTGAGACTTTATTGTCTCAATGCGGTAAGATAAACTACTGAATTTATTGGTAATAATTTTTTTATAAGAGAATGTTGGTCCCCTATGTTATATTCTTTTATACCTAAAGTATGCTATATAACGAATTTGTATGAGATTGTATAATGAAATTTTCATTTCTTATATTTGAAATAACGCATTTGTGAAAAATATGACTTATTGTTATACATCTTTTGCAAAGTTGGTATTCTTTATTTTAACATTTACTTTGTTGTAGCATTAACGTACATGAATATAAGTTGATACTCTTGAATCTATTTCATATTGTTTATATATTTTGCATACAATTTGAAAATCGTTTGAAATTTTGAACATTGAATAAATTTCTGCCTACAAAATATGCAGTATTCTTCTAATTATCTAATTTACTGTACAAATAAATGTAAACAAAGACAATTATTATAGAATCCTTTGTAAAACGAAAGGTTCTCATCACAATTTTGAAACTATAATTCTAACAATTTTACACAAGACGAAAGGAGTTAAAAAAGTTTCCAATCCGTTACGAATTACGTCGAAAATTCCAAATTGATTTCGTTGAATGGCACTTTTAATTAAAGTTCGCTTGATTTTGATAAGGCGTCACTCGGATGTCCCGCATTGCGTCTACGTTGAAATTCAGCCAAGTTCGTATGATCCGAGTTCGTATGGAACGATACCGAATCGAAGAAAAAGTTTGCTTATAAATAATATTCCAATATATAGTTTTATCCCTTATAATTTAGCAATGCTCACGTAAAAACGAGAAATCACCTCCCAGCCCCTCTCTCCTATATCGTCTTTACATTGCTTTAACACGCGTCACAACTAACGCACACATTACCCATAAGACGGAGAGTGTCTGTTCCGACGAACACAGACGACTTCGTGTCATCAGGGACAAAAAAATACGAGACTATTGAACGGACTTTGAACGACGACAGCTCGTCCTCACGGATTTTCCCGCTACTTAACCACGTCCTTTGCGTACTTCTCGCAACTGACGAGTCCTACAATCAAGGCTTTCGTTGTCCCTGATTATCTTGACGCACTTGCTACGCTGAGTAATAAAAGTGCAGAGTACCAAAGCACAAGTTGAAATATACACGTTGAATTAAGAAACACTTGTGCGTTACTTTTTGTTAAAATTGCCAGTAAAAAAGAGAACTCGCGAGATTCTTTTTTTTATATTTTACCTTATTTTTTATTTTTTTATTTGAGTTGGTGGCAATCTTACTTTCCTCCTACTCAGATGTAAAATTCTTCATACAATGAAGAGTAACGTTATTTATGGCGTGTTTGTACGTTTTTGTAATAGCCTGTGTATATATTAAATATTGTTTTAATAAAGTTTATTTAATTTATTCAAAGATTTTGCACGGTTATTTGATCTATTTTACCGAAAATTATCAATATATGCTCTATACGACGTTGTAATAAAATTTCGTATCAAGGAATATGATTTTTTTATCTCAACAAAGCTTTACAATAATTACATTTTATTTACAAATATTACGTTGACTATATATAACTACTATAACTTGTTGTAAATAATGTAATTGTTTCGTAAATTGAGGTTAAAGTTAGGCACATTTGGATTTCAAATAATAGTGTAAAAGTTAGATTTAAAACGATAAATTTATATTGATAATATCGATCACACGACTTTTTAATATTAAGTTTTTAATACAAATTTTTAATTATAGCTTATATTGGTAATTACTGTTATTAATGAAAATTTTCATAATAGCTTTATAAAAAAGAAATGGTATATTATATTTTAGATGTTATTCTGTAAATGTTCTATTATCTTGTTATTACACTTTAAATGCAAAATTATAAATGCATACTTCCTTCTAATAAACTTTTGAAGTAGTTCCAGTTATTGGCTTTCGTTTCATTAAATATATTACACAATTTTATTTAAAAATAAACTGCTGTTTTATATGTTTTTTAAACTAAATAACTTGTACATAAAAATGCATATCTTTGTAACAATTAAACGGACAATATTAAATTTAAAATTAACATGTAGCCAAGCAAAAATCATGTGATATCTGAAGTCTTTAAATAAAGCATAAATATATTAATTTACGCACAAGATATTTATTTTAAGAATTTAAAAAGAAAAAACTATTAAGACTAAAATTAATATATCATTTAATATTGCATAAGTATAAAAAAAAAATCACGTGATTTTAAATATTTTTTAGATTAAATTAATGATGGAATATGATATATAAGTTTTCGAATATACAAAATTCCATTATGTGTAACAATTATGATAAAAACAGAATAAAAAAAAATGTATTTCACGATTTGTAAAATGTATACTGACATATATATATAAGAAAAAATTACATTACAAGGTTAATATAAGTATGATTTAATTGAAAAATTAGTTAAGAAACTAAGTATTCGTGTAGATATTAGTAAAAAATGAGTAATGCCGCTATATCGATAACTTAATAGTTTTTTATGTGAGTTATAAATTATAAATTTTATTCCAATAAGAACGCATGAAGGATAAACGTATTGAAATTTTATGAAAAATATTATTTTATTTTAGGAAACCGATCGTTCTTGATTTTGGAATTTTGAATTATTTAAGCATACATTTACACTAATTATATTAATAATGCCATGATTTTAAATTAATTTTATTATATATGTATATATAACTTTCATAATATGATTGAAACAATATATTTATACGTTTCATGTAACTATAAAATGAGAACATTCTAAAATTGAAACATTTTTAAACATAATTCAGTATATTCGAAAATGAAATTAAGATTTATCGTCAATTTACGAAATTTTATCATATTAATGCTAAAATTACTTTAACGCAATGTTATTTACAAAAATTCATTACCTCTTACAACAGTATAATTTCACGTGTGATATATTATTCTTATCTCATCTAATAAGGAATTTCACAAGATGCGAGTAAAACTGTCATATAAAAAAAAATATATATATATAAAAGTTTATTTATCTAAAATTTATTTATTTTATCGATGAAATAACGATATTAATATCAATTATAATGCAATTTTCTATTCAAAGGCGATTTCTATTTCCTAATAATTTTTAAATATTGGATGTATTAAGATAAGATTATTTGAATATATTATAAATCAGACTTCAATTGAATAATTCTCTTTAATTATCGTGAACAGAATTAGCTACGACGGCTCTAATATCCTCAAATTTACCTTTGACAAAATTTACATTTTGTCAAATTATTGCCTGATCAAGCACATTCTGACAAAAAATTACCCACCCCAGTCTGTCACATACAAACTTTGTATGTCATTAAGAAGGAAGGGCTTCTCCATAATTGTATGGTATTTCGGTCGAAGTTTGTCAAGTAGTTACAATCAACTTAAATCTTCAACTTAACTAAAACCCGTTCAGCTTGGTGGATCGCGATGCAACGTTTCGTTTGCCTAAATATCCTTGAGGTGACTTTATTCTTCGAAAATATAATGGAGGTAGAAAAGATTTACGCTCGTCAGTTCAGTTTTACACGTTTATTTCTTCTTCAGATGACGACATATTGCACTGTCCTTTCAACTTCCCATCTCCCCATCATTTCTCAATAAATCTATATTTCATCACTATAGAACAGTAATTTTCTACTTGCCTATGTCTTATTGACTCTACAATGTACTGGCAGAGTAAATCCCCGAGGAAATACCAAAAGTTCCAAAGTGGTTATCACTCCCCGGATACAGGCATGTCTAGCAAGAATGGTTGCATATATCCTGGGCGCATAGGGGTTAAATGACATCGAGTACAAGCTATTGCGCCCAGTGCTCTACCAACGGACATTTAGAGCAACTACACTACATTCTGCCCTTATCTCCACGTGTTTTTCGTGCTACGCAAAGTGTCACCGACATATGTGAAGAATTCTGCGATCCACGATCGATGCGAGACGATAATCTCATGACAATATGTAAAGAAAAACCGTGCATACCCGGTCTTGATAAAACTTACATTTATCGCTTCAATCAAGCAGCTGTATGGAAATCCATATACAAAACAATTGCCGATACCCATGAGAATGTATAAAATATTCTTTCCTCTATTTTTTCATAAAAATATTATAATTTTTTACAAAATCATAATTATTAATAGTATCGATGCGTGTAAAATCATCGTTTTTGCAAAATTTTAATATCAAATAGCTACATAATAGTATAATAACTACATAATAACTACATAATAGCAAAATCACTTGGTTCGCTTTTACAAAATAACCTTACCACTTACCCTCCCCAAACATGTAAATCTCGATGTTTTGCCCTTAATCTTGAAAAAACATTTATTTCGAGTCACTTAATGCCAACTCCTTATCGAATGGAATCAATTAATCCACAATGGCACATTACAGGTGAATCTACTTGTAGCATCCGGTTTTATTTCGGCATACGTGACGAACAAGGAGAAACCATTACTCAAGCACTCTTTGAGAAGTACCCTTAAGCCTCAAATAGCACCGCCGAGCTCACAGGACTCTAAGGGCGGAACTTTCCTCTACATGATCAAAGGAGACGAAGGCCTCTACGACTATCATCTGTTCAAGGCCAAGGACGCCGAAGCGGTGAGTTTCGGACTTCTTTATATGTCCATCACGCCTACACCTTTTATTCACCAAGCCTCATCGAGTATTCATTTTATTTTTTCCTTTTAGTTAGGCTGTTTAGAGACTGATTTTATTGGAGATTTAACGATAAAAATTTAACGTGACTTACATACATTTACCTTTTGCTTCATTTATTTCATAATTTATATAGAAGCTTATTGTTTATAAGTTAACGAGAAGAATTATCTTTATTTCAAAATGAAACATTTGAAACAAATAATATTATTTTAAATTAACCTCGTGTTATCACGTATGTTGACTAGCAAGATTAATTTATCTATTGATGACTGATTAACGATAAAAAATATTTAAAATATTTGCAATTCAAAGTGAAATTATAATTTTCTAAGAGATATATTGGAATTTTAATATTTATCCATCACTATTTGCAATAATATTACTATTTTTACTCAATACATATAAAGAAATTTCTCGGGTTGATATAAATAAATGCGTCACAAGCAACTACATGATCAGTAAGATAGAATTACATAACCAGTTTTATCCACATCAGAAAAAATTCGATTCCATCATATGATTTCTTATGCCTAATTATTTCTCTTTATTTTCATATTAAATTGCAAATTTCACATTATTTTATCTTCAATAATCATTTTACATCTGAATACATTTAGTAAATTACTACTTTCGTAACATCATATGTGTTTTCCTTGTTTAATTAAAAATTTATTTAAAATGTATGAATAAAATACGATTAAGTGCGATAATATTATATGTGATTCTTAATTAAATATTAATTGCGATTAATAAATTATCCGATACTGCGTATGATATATTCTATGAATATGTGATTATTAATAAAATATTATTATTACAGTAGAGTTTAAATTTCGTTCATTACTATATGTATTTATTATAATCGCATGGGTATATACTTTAATGGGTTAAAATAAAAAGATATGAATAAACATATAGAGAGCTAAAGTATACAGTTGACTGCAAAGCCAAAAAAGGTATCTTTTAATGTATAATTAAGTCATGTTTGTATTATTTCGCTTAAAAGAAATAGAATATTGTAAAATTATTCACATATGCTTTTTAGTTTATCAATCTGCTCACTGTATTGCGTTATGCGATGGGTACATCACAAGTCTTTAAAATGATTGTCGGTCGCATTGACTGAACATATTGGCTTCGTTCTTGACACATTCTTCGCACTATATGGACATGTATTTATTTATATACTCTATACGTATAAATTTGAGGGGCGAAACTGAAAATAGAAATGCATAAAGCTTGAACGCACAAAGTGCGCGTGAAATTGTCTTCGTCGGTATGATTTTCTTTCTAGTGTATTTTGTTTCGCAATGCTATATGAAACTATTTTTTCAATATAGAGAAGCGTATAAATTTCAGGTTTTAGAGTTTTATTTTTTCGTAACAAGGTACTTGGAAAGATATAATAGTGCAAAATTTTCACAATCGGCTTTAAATAATAAAAATTTTGAAAATAGATTTTTATGCACATTTTATTGCGTGTAAATTAATTATCAAATTTCATTATTTAAATTCTCCTCATAATTAAGCCTTAATTTATATTTTCAATAGATATTGTGTATTTTACATTGTCTTAATAAATTCATACTTACCTCTCATTACGAATAAGTAAGAATTATTCATTGAAATTGAAATGTTCAATACAGAAGGATTATTTTGTTATTTTCAACTATTAAATAAATAAATTTAAAGAGAAAATTTAATTGCACTGTCTATTAAAATAAAATAATTTATGGTATTATCGTAATTAGATCGAATATTGGATAAAACAATTATTGTAACAGACAATTGTTCATAACATACTGTTCGTAGTTTCAAATCTGAATCTATACTTTCTGATTTGTTTTTCAGTTTACATTGATTCCTATTATATCCGATACATTTTCCAATCTTAATAACAACAGTAAAACAAATAGTATAGGAATTTTTTAAAATATATGGACGTTATAAATTTGAAAAATCAATGAACTATTATTAGCATAATTGTTAGCAATAAATAATTATGTTAAAGTAAAAAGTTTTTAAATGTTGCAATTTTCATATAGTTTTAAATAACTCATTGGAAAATATTATTATCTAACGATAACAGTGAACCAATATAAAACAAATTTTTAATTAATTGAAAAATTTGAAAAACAGAAATTTCTATATTTCATTCGATTAATTTTTCATTAATTTAATTTAAATTTTTATCAGAATATAACTGTTAAGTATTAGAATTTTTATTAGTAATTATTTAATTTTAACTTACATAGATAAGAAAAACTCACGCTAAATAATTAATGTTAGAATCCAACTTTTTTTGAAAGTTTTTTATTACTTAAATTAATTGCATATAATCTGAGTATTAATATTTTTTAGTAATTAGTATGGATATAACAGATGAAATAGTAAAGTAAACTATCATCATATAAATAAGCGCTAAATATAATTCTAATTACGGTAGACTTAATATTTTTCTAATTTAAAGGAAACAGGAAAATAGTAAACTTGATTTTAATTAATCTAAGATACAACGTACGATCAAGTATTTAATATTAATGATTGGTAAATTGAATCCAGAATGATTCATAAAACATACAAAATCATAATAATATGTATTATTCTTACAATAGTTAAGAAAAAAAAACAAACAAATAAATAATAGGATTTATTCTTAATAACATTTTTGTATTTACAAAGCATTATATATAAAAAAAAAGCATTGATTAAAATTGAAAGAAGCATTGTTTAATTTTTTTTAATTTAAAAGTAAGGAAGTCTCGAAGAGTTAAGTGTGCAATTTTTTTAAATTATAGTTTTCTCGAAATATAATCTAATCAAGAAGAACAAATAAAACTAAGAAGTTTCAAATAAATGCAAATATCATTAAGCCTAATTGTTTAATAATTGTTAAATAAATATTCGTGTAATTCAAATAAGTTTTTGATATCTTAGTCAATGCCAACCAGATATTCTATAACTCTTACTTCGTTCTCAAACGATAAATATAAAGTTCAATGTTTGAATCAAGGAAACACGAATAAATAAAAGATTTCACTTTCAGAGAACCTTGGCCTGCGTAAAATCTTTAAGGCTACGCGCGTCATTAGAAGCTAGGTGCAACATTTTCTGTTACTGTTGAACTTTGCGTTCAGAGAGTATGGGTATGCCTGCGCGTATGTATGAGCGCGCGTGTGCGTGTGACGGAGACTACATGGGGAGCTTCAATCATGCTATGATAAACACATAAACGGCGTATGCCATCCCCAAAATTTACACTCTTTGGGCAATTTGCCCGCTGGTTAGTCTCTACGAACTATAATAATTCAGTTTCACGGGCTTGGAGCCACTTTCTGTCTCGTAAACTTTCCCCCGATTCGTGTACGCCTGCCTTTTACTTGGAGCCCATCAGCAAATTAGTCAATCCGGTAAACAAGGGTGCGGTGCCATTCCTTTCCTATTTAACTCGCGTGTGGATTATGTCTACCAATATATTTATACATATTACGTGTATAAAAGTTTTTTTTCCTTTTTTTATCTTTATAAGTTGTCGTTACCGACGGCTGCGTGTACCTCGTGCTTTGTTGATCTGTACGAGTAAAATTTCCTATTGTCTTACGAAATTTACTTGTCACTTGAATTTCTTGCGCCTATTGATGAAGCGATCAAATTCAATTCTTGTTTTAAGATTATCTGTATAATGTATGCGTAATACAATGTCACTAATACCTGCTTTAATATTCTATATTATTATTTACATGTACTGCTATCAAAGTAAATTTTATTTTTAAAATACTTATTATTAATGAAAATAGAATATTTGTTTTAATGGGATTAATAACTGGATTCGATGAAGTTGCAGTAATTTTATAGAAGTTGTAGACAAATACGACAGCTAAATATTATATATATATATATATATACATATTATAACAAATTATTATTGATAATGAAAATATAAATAATTTTAATAGCCTCTATTTTACAATTATTTTAATAAAGTTGAATGTATTCGCCATTACAAATGTAAAATTAATTATATGGGAAGGCGGATCATAATCATTATTTGCGGAGGAAATAATTCACGTGTGCTTTTCTACGGAATTAGATTTCACTAGATCACAGATATCTACAATTAGAAGAGAAAAAAAAGTAGTACAAATAATTAAAGGAAATAGAATTATAATATTATAAACTATATTGTGATTCATGGTAACGAGGATAAAAGGAATAATAAGATATGAATAATGTCGAACGAGTTGGCGACAGTAAGAGGAGGGATAATTCTTTAAATCTGAAATTATACGTAGTGCAATTGTATTCGTATACATAATAATGTTGATGTATGAAATTATGTTTAGATATACCATTAATTAAAAACATTATTTCTTTATAGTATCTCAATTAAGGTCATTTAATTAAAATTTTTTATCGTATAAACTATGCCATCTTCTAATTTATCATTGTTATTTCTAAATGCATTTAAAAAATTAATACAATTATCTAATTATAATAAATATAGAAGCATTCTTGCAGCATTCTTTTTGCATTTCATTGCAGACATTTTTTGAAAACTTTATTCTACTTATGTCTTAATAAATAGAATAATCACAAATATCTTTTAATTATAAATATTTCATACAGACTACATATTCTAGATTTTCTAGATAACAAATTTCTTAAATATTCTCAAGTACTTTAGGAATTTGTATATGATTATACATAAATGAGGTTAAGCTAGTTTTGTATTCAATAAACCTTATTGAATCTTTTATATTTATTTTACAATTTAACATATTATTATATATATATATATATATATATATATATATATATATATAATTATTATAACAGATTAAATTGAACATATTAGTCCATCATATTTACTTTGTATTAATTCTTACAAAATTTATCATAATAATTATACATATTTATATAAAGCATGGTTTACAGCTTCA